AGTTCAAGGCCTGCCTTATCTATGTAGCAAGACAGTATCACAAAAACCAAAAGAAGATTCGAGGCCTGCCTGGTCTACAAGAGCTAGTGCCAGGACAGGCTCCAAAGCTACAGAGAAACCCTGTCTCGAAAAACTAAAAAAAAAAAAAAAAAAAAAAAAAAACAAAAGAAGAATGAAAAGTATAAAAGAAGGAAAGGGGAAAGGAAGGGCAGGTACTATACACATCTCAGTTTCTAGCCTGCTTCCTCTGTCTCCCTGAGTGTCTATGCCATTAAACATTTGTCTTTTCCTTCCATACTGTCATTATGAATAAAGCATTCCTCCTCTCAAAGGTCAACCCCTCCACTTATGTCCTTGATCCCTACCCTCTCCCTACACGATTAATCTCCCTTGACAGACGATTATGCCCCAGGATGTCCCAGCTTTAAAAGGCCCTCCATGGCCTTAAGTTTAGAGTTGTCTCTGCTTCCTTGTCTTCATGTTTCCCCTTCAACATTTCTGACAGGTCTTTGAGCCCCCTCTGTGTCTGCCTCTGTGACTCCTGAGTTAGTGTTCTTTCTGATTTCCCTGTTTTATATTGGCCAACTACTCCCGGGTATAGGGCCTGCCCTGGAGTGTGGTTGACATACCTAATGACTATTCATTGGAGAAAACTTGATTTTCCCTTCCCCAGCAGGTACCAGTTACAAATATCTTCTTGGCTAGGGTGGGATTTTGTGTCTACTCCCTCTTTTCCATACTGGTATGATACCTAAGTTTTTCGGCAAGTCTTGTAGTGTGCTATCATGGTGTCTGAGTTCATATATGTCTGGATGATACTGTTTCTTTGGAGTCATGCACCAGCTCTGGCTTTGACAACCCTTCTGCCTCCTCTTTTGCGTAGTTCCTTGAGCTTTGAGGGGAATGGTTTAATACAGATATTTCATTTAGGGATGGGTGCTCTTACTCTCTGCACACTGCTCAGTTATGGATCTCTGGGTTAATCCCTGTCTTAGTTAGGGTTTCTTTTTTGTTTGTTTGTTTGGTTGGTTATTTTGGCTTGTTTTTCTTTTGTTTTTGTTATTTATTTATTTACTTGTTTATTTTGAGACAGGGTTTCTCTGTGTAGCTTTGGAGCCTGTCCTGGAACGTGCTCTGTAGACCAGGCTGGCCTCAAACTCATAGAGATCCTCCTGCCTCAGCCTCCCAAGTGCTGGGATTAAAGGTGTGCATCACTACTGCCCAGTTTAGTTAGGATCTCTATTGCTGCAATGAAACACCATGACCAAAAAGCATGTTGGGAGGCTTATATTTTCTTTTTCTTTTTTTTTTTTATTGAGAAAAGGAGAAAAAAAAAAAAAACAAGTTTCCACCTCCTCCCAGCCTCCCATTTCCCTCCCCCTCCTCCCACCGTTCTCCCCCTCCCCCCCACTCCTTTCCCCCTCCCTCTCCAGTCCAAAGAGCCTTCAGGGTTTTCTGCCCTGTGGTAAGTCCTAGGTCCTCCCCCATCCGTCCGTATCTAGGAAGGTGAACATCCAAACTGGCTATGCTCCCACAAAGCCAGCACATTAAGCAGGATCAAAACCCCGTGCCATTGTCCTTTGCTTCTCATCAGCCCTCATTGTTCGCCATGTTCAGAGAGTCCAGTTTTATCCCATGCTTTTTCAGTCACAGTCCAGCTGGCCTTGGTGAACTCCCAATATCATAATTTATCATTGGAGGAAGTCAGAACAGGAACTCAGACATGGCAGGCACCTGGAGTCAGGAGCTGATGCAAAGGTCATGGAGGGGTGCTGCTTACTGGTTTGCTTTCCCCTGAATTGCTCAACATGCCTTTTTATAGAACCCAGGACCAGCAGCCCAGGGATGGCACCACCATGGGCTGGGTCCTCCCCTATTAATCACTAATTGAGAAAATACCTTACAGCTGGGTCTCATGGAGGCATTTCCTCAACTGAGGTTCCTTGTTCTCTGATAATTCTAGCTTGTGTTAACTTGACACACAAAACCAGCCAGCACAATTCCCATCAGCTGTAAGAAGCTTCTCAATGGGGGCTGAGTGAACCACTGATCTATGAATATAGCAGTAAGTTATTAGGAGTCATTTTATTGTTATGCTCCTTTGAAAAATAATAGTAAGTTTTTCCTAGGGTTCATGACCTATCAAGCTACAGGTTCTTAGCTGCTTTAGCAGTTTTGGGGTTGAGTTCCCATTCACAGAGTAGGTCTTACACACACACACACATATACACACACACGGGTTGGATACTCCTATAACAATTGTGCCACTATTACATTATATATTTTGCAGGCACATTGCTGTTGTAGCAACTGGGTTTGTAGCGGGTGATATTGATTACCTTTTCCTCTGGTGTCATGAAAAATACCTTACAGTACTACGAACACTAGTCAGTAGGAGTGAAACTTGTAGTTGGGCAACAGATCAATTTCTCCATGTTTGATGGCATAAATGGTACCTTTAGCCATAAGGCCTTACTGTCAGTTATAGAGAGTATCCAATAGCTTTGACTATTTTGTGATATTGGAGGAAGGGGTCTATAGGACCCTTGTTGGCCAACAACTCAACAAGACGAAACCCATTTTAGGCATTGGGAGGCTTTACTTGGTGGCTTAAGATATCTAGTTCGGGCATTCTCTCTCCCATTATATGATGACTCCATTTAAATTCCTTTCCTGTGTGTATATATTTTAGGAAACTTCTACAATAGTAAATTCCCATAAGATTTTTTAAAAGGCCATTAATGTTAGTTATCCCTCTCCAGATTCCTTCCTGTACCCTGTCCTCCCATCCCCCTCCCCATTTAATATTTTCTACCTGTAACTTTTTCTGGGCTTCCTAGTCAACTTTTAATTTGACATAGCCTAGAGTCATATGAGAAAGGAATCCCAATTAAAGGATTACCTTGACCAGACTGACTTGTGGGTATTGTCTTGATTGCCTTAATTGATATAAGAGGGCCCAACCCACACTACATGAGGTACCATTACTTGGGCAGGTGGTCTTGCCATGGGCAGGTGGTCTTGAGTTGTATAAAAAAGCTAGCTGAGCATAAGCCCGCAAATGAGCCAGCAAGCAGTGTTCCTTCAAGGTTTTTGCTTTAAGTTCCTGCCCTAACCTGACTTCCCTCAGTGATGCACTGTGACCCACAAACCCTTTCTTCTCCTAAGCTGCTTTTGGTCAGAGTCGGTGACGGAGATGCTAAGTAGAATATAGGCTATCCAACCAGTCTCTAGGCTTTAAAGTCTACTTGGATGTCTATTTTAGTCAGTTTAATGGTTATGACTCCATTTCATTTATGTAAATGCCTACTCAATTTCCCAAGCGCATGTAAAAGGCATTTAAAGTATCACATGATCTAACAACAACTCGATTACCCTCTTCCCAACCTGTTTCCCCTCCAAAGTTTCATATATTATCAAATAGCATATTATCTATCCAAATGTCTGTCAAAAATCTGGAACCTATCTGAAAAATCTGAAACCACCTTCAACCCCTGCAACAAATTCAATGTCCAAACTTGTTCATATAACGCTAGACTCTCAAGAGAAGAAAGAAGCCAAGAATGAAATCCAAAGTGCTTTTCAACTCTCTTGCATTATATTTGTCAAGGTCTCATTGACCAAAGCAAGTCAAGGCTTGCTGGAGTCAGTAGAGAGACACATCAAAGCTTATGTGTAATTTGAGACGCTATTTTTACAGTCTACCACGTTAACTTTCATGTTTCCATTTCCTCTTCCACACAGAAACTCAAGCGATCTTTCTTTCTTTCTTTTTTTTTTTCACACACTCATCTCACCCTTTGACCCAAACCCTACTACCAAGTCTTCACTTAAAAATCCATCTCAGGGGTGGGAGAGAGGGAACACCCACGAAGAGTCCTTGCTGCTCTTCCACAGGACTTGAGTCTGGTTCCTGGCACCCGGATCAAGTAACTTACAACTGCCTATAACTTCAGTTCCAAAGAACATCAAAGGCCTGTATGCTTCCTTAGGCACCTGCAGACCTACCTACCTTCTTCTCACTCTCTCTCCCTCCCTCCCCCATCTCTCTCTCTCTCTCTCTCTCTCTCTCTCTCTCTCTCTCTCTCTCTCTCTCTCTCACACACACACACACACACACACACACACACACACATACACACACACACAAATCTGAAATAGATATTCAATCTCAATCATAAACTGAAACCTCAGGACCTGGCATTCCTCGGTCTACCCGATTGAATGGCTTATAGCAGGAACACACACACACACACACACACACACACACAAATATTTGCTTGCTGAATGGGTGCACAAACGCTTTCTGTGTCCTATGACTGAGCTGATCTATGAATTGCTACACTCTTCCCACGTGAGCAGGATACTCACAGAAAACGTGAATTCCATATTGAGGGTAAACTGGGTGTTTCTTACACCCTACCTTACAACAGTAACCTTCCTTCATTTCCTCACTCCTATACTTGCAAAAAAATTAAAAATTAGAAAGGTTTTGGAAAACTTAGTCATCACTTCTTCACATTCCGTCGGATTCACGTCTCACTCTACCACTCACTCTACCAGCACCAGACGTAGCGCTGAAAGATACAAGGTATTCGACTTTTTCGCTCGCCAAGGACGAACAGTCAAGGTTCCGCGGACAGAACTATAGAACGGCACGCTGGGAGCTGTAGTCTCCCTGGGAGACGCAAGACGGGGGGGGGGGGGGGGGGGGGGGGGGGGGTGTGTTCCTGGAGCATCCTGGGAGATGTAGTTAAGCCTATACGTCCAATAGGGAACGAGATATTACGCGCTGCATTCTGGGAAGTGTAGTCTTCCTGCAACCTCGCGCCTACGAGGCGAAGAGGCGCCCAGCCTGCCGCCATTTTAGGTCTCGAGGAGCGGCAGCGGAGAGAGCCAGCGCGCAGGCGGGCTCAACCCCGGTGCCGGGCGGGCCCCGCCTCCAGAGCTCCTGGAGCCCGCCCCTCGCCCAGGCTCCGCCTTCCCCCACGTGTCTGCGGCCGAGGGGAGGCGCCTGAGCCGGAGCGGGCTCTCCACCGGTCCGGCCCGGTCCTCACACAGGTCTCCGTCAGCGGCTCTCGGGAGCGTCCCCGGCTGCCGGATGCTTCCGCCCCGGCTGCGGCGGGCCGGGCTGGACGCTTAGTGCCCGGCTCGTGCCCTGCCAGAAGCGCCCGCGGGGGTGGCAGCGGCCTCCGCCCCGCGGAGACCGAGCGGCTGGAGGACGAGGCGGCGGCCGCGGGGAGGAGGATGGGGGCTAACCAGTTAGTGGTGCTCAACGTGTACGACATGGTGAGTGCGGCCCCTGGCGGCCCGTGCGAGCCGGCCGACCGGCCCGCTGGGACAGGCTGGGACCCCGGCCCCTTCCTGCCTGGCGTCCCCGCCTCCGGCTTAGTTCTCCGGGGGTGGGGGGAGGGGACCGTCGCGCTGTCTTCTAATCCCCAGACTGGCCGGCGCGCCTCCGGGAGAAGCCCAGTCGGCCCGAGGGAGGGCTGGGGCACGACCCTCCTCCGAGCTCGGGCTCCCCTGACTGTGGGCCCGACCCCTGGGCGGGTGAGCCGTGTCCCCTCCGAGGCTTCCGTCGCCGTGCGACCTCCGCGCCACCGCCTGGCCTCCGAGCTGCCCGCTTGCCCCCTCTGCCCTGCTCCTGCTGACCCTTGGCCGCCTCCAAGTGCTCAAGTCTCCCACCAGCTCCCAAGCCCCTCGAGTCTAGAAAGTCACAGCTGCGACGCGGACGCTAGCGTCTCCCCAAAGGTGAACCGGAGCCAGCACACCCTCGCCTCCGAGGCCGCCTCATTAAAATGAATGAAGCTAAAATTTATCTAGAAAATAGCCCGGTTGAATTATTTAGAGACCACAGAGGTGCTCCTGGGCTAAGATTCTAGAGACCACTTTGCAGGTGACGCAACAGGTGGATGACATGACCACTAGAGAGGGAAGGGAAGCCCTGTTTATTGTGTCGTCTAACTTTGAAGAACTGTAGACCCCCAGAGCAGGGGCCAAAGACTGGCCCCCCGTGGTTGCACTTGCAATACCCATAGAATGGTCGCCACAGTGAGATGCAAGTTTGGGTTTGTTCCCTTGCCTTTGGTGACTTCATTTTTTTTGTTTTTTGTTTTGTGGAGGATTACCTTAGCTTGAAAAGCCTGAAATTTTTTGTATGTGCATTGACAGATGAGAAATTCTCCGTCATTATTTCTGTTGGCTTAAAAAATACTGAAAGAAATTCGGCAGTAGGGAGTCTTGGTTCTTATTTACAGCTCTAAGCTCTTTGTGTTGTTTATACACGTTTTTTAATGAAAAGGGAACTATTGATAGCTAGGGATGCCTCATGCCATATCTAGGAGTCAGCATTGACAGCCTGTAACTACAAGTGAGGCTTCTAGGAGGTTCCAGTGTAAGTCTGGAGATGAAAGAGGTGGGTTAATAGACGAGGAAAAGTGAATCATGATTGAAAAAGTTGAATAACAAGAGATTCTAGAAGAGCATATGACTAATAGCCTACACTACTGGTTAAGAAATTATTCTCTGGATTTAAGCTTTTTGTGTTCCATTCCATGGGAATCCTTTCTTCACACTTAATATTGCACTTTTATTATTTCAGTGCCTTCTGCCTATCAGACTCTGAATTTTTTTTAATTGATGGAAACTATTATATACTCTCCTTCTGGATATGTTTGACTCTGGAGAATATATATTGAGGTATCATCTCTATTTTTAATAAATTAGGAGTATACAGTGGCCATGGTTATAGAGTTTTGCTTTTTAAATTGAAAATGCATTACATGACATAGTGTGTGTGTTCTGTGAATTGGGAAAATTGTTACTAGTTAGTGAGGGCTAGGGAAGATACTCAAACTATGTTTCTTAGGGGAAGAGTGTTTTAAGTGATGATAAAATATGAAGCAATTAAAAAAAATTATTGCTCCTATCTCTAGTTGCAGAGAAAGCAGACAGAAAAAAAGAGTGAGTGACCTTCCCAGGTGACTAAAAGCAGGGTCTAGAATTTCTAGATGACAGTCTTGATTCAGTATTGTCTCTGCTGAATGAGTCCCTTAATTATTTCTTACATGTTGCTTTATTTCATCAAGAGGAAGAGAAGCATTTGAATAAAAATGTTTTAGAAACTTGTCCTTGGGCCGGGCGATGGTGGCGCACGCCTTTAATCCCAGCACTCAGGAGGCAGAGGCAGGCGGATATCTGTGAGTTCGAGACCAGCCTGGTCTACAGAGCTAGTTCCAGGACAGGCTCCAAAGCCACAGAGAAACCCTGTCTCAAAAAACCAAAAAAAAAAAAAAAAAAAAAAAAAAGAAACTTGCCCTTGTATGTTCTTTTGAGGAATTTTGATCTATGACTGCTTATATCACTAATTCGGAAACTTACCGTTACTTAATTTTGACCCTGTAGAATCCACAGATGGGATCTGTTACCTCTCTGCTCTAAGGAATTTGGGATAGCATAAGGAAGACACAAGAAGGGTTATCATTTGAAGCAGATGAGCATTATTTTACTAAGAGCAGAAGAGGGTGCAAAGGAGATAGTTTTGTAGCTGTAGAATTAGGAAATGCTGAAAGAGAAAAAGGGGTGAACTAGAGGCAGTGGTCGGATCAGTCAGCATGAAAAGGACAAGAATAGGGAAGCACAGGCTGACCTGGGAACTTTTAGCTGGAAGGTAGGATGCTTGAAAGAAAACAACTGGAGTGAGGGAAGGATTGTGAGGACTCTGTGAGCCAGGGAAAACACTTGTTTTCCTCGAGGGGATCGATGTGATCACAGACTTTACCACAAAGCCAAGTGGATTAAGGTGTACATTTTTCTCATATCAGTTTTACTTTTTGATGTGTTTTGCTTGATGTTCAGGGTAAATTCCTTTTATCTTTGGTTATAATTTCTGTTTTTTGTAGATGCCTTTGATGATAATTGTGTTTGTTTATAAGTTTGGTATATCAACTCTTCCAAAATCAACCACTGGGTTTTCCTGTTGCAACCATTGATCAGTTGCCATGTATCCTTGTATCTCTTTGTCACCTGCTTCAGCTGTGACCATTTTTCCTGTTCACTAGATTGGATGGCTGTATATCCTTCCTCCTTTTCTACACCTACCACATATATGTAAATAATGAGCAGGGTTGCATGCTGCCTTTCTTTTTGTGGAGGACTAATATGGTCCTCAAGAGCTTATGCTAAATTGTTACTTATTTTCTTTTGGTGATTATAGTTTTCTGTATACTTTGGGGCAACCTACTACCAATTAAATAGGGCCAGGTGTAATTCTCTGAAACTTGAGAATGGATTATTCATATATCCCTAATTTATCTGTATTTATAGAAAGTCAGGCAAATCAGATTTCTTTCCATTACTGGAATAAGTCTGTTATATTTGCTTTAACTTAATCTTTATTTTTAATAGCTCCAAAATTTCTGTATTTCAGGCTATGTTAGCTACTAAGGAATTTCTTAAAAATTAAAATTTGCAAGTGTTTGTGTTTATCAATTCATCCTATATACAAGTTTCTTCCTTTTAAAAAATAGTACCTTTAAAAAACAGAAAAGAAGCCTGGCAATGGTGGCGCATGCCATTAATCCCAGCACTCAGGAGCGAGAAGCAGGTGGATATCTGAGTTCCAGGACAGCCAGGGCTACCCAGAGAAACACAGTCTTAGTGTTTCTAAACTAAGAAAAAAGAAATAAAAATCAAAACAAAATGACAACAACAAAAAATAGGAAAGAAACATCCTAGAAGTCTTCCAGTTAAGGCATTTTTATTTGGCCTGATTCACAAGCTCCTCCAAGAGAGGAGCAAGTATGATAAAGCCTGACTTTTCTTTCATACATTTGTTGATTTAGTTCAGGCTTTTTTGGCTTGTTGTTGTTTGAGACAGGGTTTCTTTTTTTTTTTTTTATTTTCGAGACAGGGTTTCTCCGTAGCTTTTGGTTCCTGTCCTGGAACTGGCTCTTGTAGACCAGGCTGGCCTCGAACTCAACAGAGAGCTGCCTGCCTCTGCCTCCTGAGTGCTGGGATTAAAGGCGTGTGCCACCACCACTTGGCTTAATTAAGACTTTTAAAATGACATCCATGTACACTCATTTATTATATACTGAGTACACTCTTCACTGTACCATCTCCATACAGTCTGAGTCCATATATATAGTAGCAGACTTTGCCCTTCCTTTCTTTGCCTCTTCTATGCTTCCCTCTCCCTTCGTGTACAACCGTACCCCTGCCAAATCCCACCACTGCCACTTTTGATAGCCAGTACTCTACTCAGTGTCTCAAATCAAAAATTTGGAAGTAAACCTAAATCTCTCTTTTTTATAAACCCTTCTTCAGTCAGTCACCTGGCCTGGTCCTGCTCTTAGTTTTGGTTGATCTGTGTGAAAGTAACAGAACTTGACAATCAGTAGCTTAAATTGGCAAGATAATGTCTTAAATCCAGAGATTAAAAAGCCCCTGAGATAGTTCAGCAGCACAGTCATGTCATTAAGATTTTGCAACCTCCTACTCTTCTGTGCTCAGCTTGCTGGCATTTGTCTTTGTGTCCTCAGAGTTGCAAAATCACTGCCATAGTACTAAATTTGGTGTCATCATAGAACAGAATGTGGAAGTAAGATGTAGTGGGATGCAGGGAGGGTTCTACTTGCACCCACACTCTAGCAGAAAGGAAAAGCTTTGGCAGAGCTACCCTCTTTCCCTCCAGAGAGTGTTCAGAATTGGCTCACATAAAACTATACTGAACCTGAATAAGTGGATCCACTGGCTTTCTAGTCTTTATAGGCAAGTTGTAGATAGTCGTAATTTAATTAGGGTGTCGGTTACACATTTGACTTTCTGAATTATTTGTCCATGTGTGGAAATCAAACAACCTCAGGTGTTTCTTGGGTGCTGTCCACCTTTTTTTTTTTTTTTTTTTTTATTTCTGATGGGTTTCTAACTGGCCTAGAACTCACCCAGTTGCTAAATTGGCGAGCTTTTGAGCCCCAGGAATCCACCTGTTTCTGCCTGTCCTGTGCAGATATTACAAATACTATCATGCTTGGGGCTGGAGAGATGACTTCACAATTAAGAGCACTGACTGCTCCTCCAGAGGACCCAGGTTCAATTCCCAGCACCCACATGGCCGCTCACAACTGTCTGTGACTCCAGTTCCAGGGTATCTGACAACCTCACACACACATACACGCAGGCAAAACACCAATGCACATATAAATAAATATTTAAAAACAAAACAAATACTATCGTGCTGGACTTTTTAGGGGGGTGGGGAATAAGAGTCCCTCACTATGTAGCGTTGG